TTTGGTACCAAGGGCAATTAACCATTAGCCACATCCCCAGCCCTTTTTAAAATTTTATTTTGATACAGGGTCTCACTAAGTTGCTGAGGCTGACTTGAACCTGTGATCTTCCTGCCTCAGTCTGCTGAGTCGCTGGGATGACAGGTAGGTGCCACCGCACCCCGTTGGCACGGCAGTGTGAGAGCAGTCCTGGGGCAAGGAGGGCAGGGAGTAAGAAAACTTCGCCAAGCTCTGACACTCACCCAGGAAGAGAGGAGTCTGGAGTAGGCCCCTGCAGGCAGTTCCTCTGGCAGCCATTTCTCACTGAGCACAAGCGTACCCCCAGGGCATGAGTGCCCTCAAATTCTCAAGAGGGACTCACCTGCGTTTCAGTGCTAGATCAGGGCTGTCCCTGTCGAGGGGAGCGTGCTCATGGGGACGCCTACAACTGTTTCCCAGACCTTAGTCAGCTGCAGGGAATCTGCAAAGTGGCAGCACACCTGCAGGTGTTCAGTGGGAAGATCCTTTTGCAGAACAGGTGCCTCGTGAGCCGTGGGTGGGTTCCCACAGGAAGGAAGCCCAGTGTGCGGGAGGAGTGTGGGAAAGCCTTGGACAGAGCACCATGCCATTCAGCACTAGAGAGTCCACACCGTGAGAAGCAGATGTCTGCCAGGAGCGTGGACATGCCTTCAGCAAGCACTCATCCCTCCTCACACATGCGCAGTAAAGCCTGTGTGTGGCCACAAGCACTGCCTCCAGAGCTCATCCCTTGCCAAACTAGTGGTGCACACTGGTGAGAATCCAGGGCCAGGGCACCCCTCCTGCAGCACCAATGAGTCCACCCTGGGGGGAAGCTCTCTGCCTGCCTGAGTGTGGCAGAGCCTGCACAGACTCCTCGGCCCTCCTTGCCCCCCAGGGCCCGCTCCTCGGCCCTCCTTGCCCCCCAGGGCCCGCTCCTCGGCCCTCCTTGTCCACCACAGGCCACACCCAAAAAGGCCCTATGAGTGTCACATGTGCTGCAGGGCGTCCAGCCTAAGCTCCTCCCTGGCTTCGCTTGTGTGCTGCCACACTGCAGAGAAGCCTCTGTGTGTCAGGAGTGTGGAAGGCCTCCAGCCACAGCTCAGTGCCCTCACCAAGCCCCCGTGGACACACAGGCCAGTAACCCTCTGTGTGTGGAGAATGCGTGAAGGCCTCCAGCCACGGCTCCTACCTGACCCAGCCCCTCCAGGTCCTCAGTGGTGAGAAGCCTCACATGTGCAGCAAGTGCAGGAAGCCATTTAGTAACTTCTCGACTCTGTCCTACACCTGCAGCTACACAAGGTGAGCATCCTCATGGGTGTGGAAAATGCAGGAAGACCTTTAGCCAGAGCAAGTTCCTCACGAAGCATGAGTGGGTACACACTGGGGAGAAGCCCTTTGTGGGAACTGCAGGTGAGCCTTCCTACAAAGCACACTGCTCGTCCTCCAGAGGACGCACACTGGGGAGAAGCCTGCCTCCAGGTGTCACACCTCACTGCTCATTACCGTGCACACTGGGAGTGGCCCTACACATGCAACTCGTGTGGCAAAACCTTTAGCCACAGCACACTCCTAACCCTGCACCAGAGCAGCCTCTTCCGAGAAAAGCCCTTTCCCTGTTGTGAGCAGATCCTCAGAGCAGATTCTAGGCCCAAGTGAGAATTATTTCCCCAGAGAGACCATCGAATACAAGTATCAGAAAACCCTCGGCTGCTCTTTGGTTTCTGGGTGTTGGCATACTTCACACAGGACACCCACGGCAGAGGCCCTCCCGTCACCCCCACTGTGTTGTCTTCCGTCCTGGGAAGACCCTGTGATCGTGAGCCACTCAGGATGGTGGAAAGCAGCCTACCTGGGGCAGCACATCATCCGTCCTCCCCTGAGAGGGTCCCTGGTCAGGTAGGAAAGCTGGGAGTGGGCCTTGGGTCAGGTGGATATACTCCCCATTATCTTCAAGGCAGCCAGTGGCCACTCCCAGTTCCTCATCTTTAGGCTCCTATGGATGGCAAGAAGTCCATCAGTGTGACTAGGCTTCCCCTCAGCAGGCTCTGAACGCACTGATTCAAAGTGTTTGCCAATGCAAAAATGAAGTTTTAAAAAAACAAACTATTTTAGCCTGGCACAGTGGGGCACCCTGTAATCGCAGCCACTTACTTAGGAGACTCAGGCAGGAAGATCACAAGTTAGAGGCCAACACAGGCAGAGAACTTAGAAAGACTCTTTCTCAAAAATATTTTTTTTTATGGTCCCGGGATTGAACCCAGGGGCATGTTACCACTGAGCTACATCCTCAGTCCTTATATTTGTTTATTCATTTTAAAATTTTGAGACAGGGTCTTGCTAAATTGCTGAGGCTGGTCTTGAACTTGTGATTCTTCTGCCTTGGACTCCCAGGTTGCTAGGATTATGGGTGTGTATCACCACACCTAGTTCAAAATAAAAATTTTAAAGGGCTGAAAATATAAGTCAGAGGTAGAACACTTCTGAGTTCGCTCTCCAGTATGGGGGGGGGGTGCTATTTTAGAACAATGTTTTTGCAATTGTTTGTTCCTTAAGACCAATAGGGTTTGGGGTTTTTATTCCCCCAAAGTAAGCTTTATATGTGGAAATGGTGTGTGTTACAAAGTCCAGGATCTTGAAAAGGAAAACCATGTGTGGCTCCTCAGCTTCAACATGGCAGGTGTGGGCGTGGACCCCACTGGGCACTTTCACGCACTTTACATGCATCATCCCTTTGCATCTTCTCAGCAGCCCTGGCATGCAGGTTCTTTTGTTCCACTTCACAGATCTGGGAGCTGAGACGGAGCCTTAAATCACCTGCTGAAGGCCCCAGATAGATGCCACTCATTTTTCAGGATGATTAGGTTAGTCGATAGGGTCAGGATGGCAGAAGCGCCTCCTTCCCTGGGCACATTCATTCAGCATGTGCCCAGAGATATTTACTATAAAGAGGCAGTCCTGCAATTGCCAAAATCAGAATGGAGTTGCTTCTGTCAACTTTAACGGAAATTAAGCCAGGAGATTATGAAGTAAGGGCGGTGACGCATGACTGCCTGATGGTACCTCTCAGAAGAGGCTCCCGGAACAGAGCTTGCATTGAGGCCACAGAACAAAACTACTTCTGCAAGGATGTCTGCCCAGCAATGGTCATCCAACCTCTGTCTCATGTCACCTGTGTCATTAATCATTGTGAGGAAAGATTATTGTTTCAAAATATCTGATGAAATCCTCTTAATTTTTGCCTTTAAAAACTTGCCCTTGACTTTATGTGTAATATGAATTGTAATGCATTCCACTGTCATAAGCGAATAAAAAAAGAAAAAATGTGTTTTATTAAAAAAAAAAAAAAAAAAAAAAGACTTGCCCTTGGGGCTGGAGTTGTAGCTCATAAAGGTATCATGTTCATCTACCGATATCTATCTATAGATACACTATGGATAGGTCAACCTATCGATAGATATCGTAGACCTATCAGTAGATATACACACATACACATTTATATGTGTATATATATTTATTTTTTAATCCATTTTTTAAAAATCTTAAAAAAAAAAAAACACCTTGCCTTTGGCCAGGCATGGTGGCTCACAGCTATAACCCAGCACCTTGGAAGGATCACAAGTTCCAAGCCAGCCTCAGCAACTTGTGAGACCCTGTCTCAAAAAATAAAAAGGGCTGGGGATGTGGCTCAGTGGTTAAGCACTGCTGGTTTCAATCCCTGATACCAAAAAAAAAAACTTGCTCTTGCTTCTACAGCACATGAAATCCCATCACAACACAATTCCCACATAGAATCTGGCTTTGCTTCAGTTTTAACCTCTGGGTTTCTCTGGACTGACAACTCCTACTGAGCCTGGGAGACAGCCAAGTGAGGTGTCGAGCCTTTGGCCTGACTCAAGGCTCAGGCAAAGGCAGAGCAGCAGCTGGGAGCAGTTGCTCAATCTGACATTGACCAACTGTCTACTTGTTTGTTCCCACTCTTCCATGTAACATTGCTCAGGGGTCTCTGGCTCTCAGGATGACATCTAGCCTCCAGCTGGGCCTCAAAGAGCCCTAAATTCAGCCCCATCTTTCCAAGCTCGACTTGCATTCTCCCACAGGCAGCCTGCTAATGCCAAACACAACTATCTCCTCTTCACTGAACAGCGCAGCTCATTCTGTTCTCTGTCCTCATCAGCTCCAGGGTAACCCCTCCCCGACTGAGCCAGCAGCCTTCCTCCTGTGCCCCATTATCATCTTCTGATCCAGAACCACCCTGGTCTGGAAGCCCCGTTAGTACACACCTGAGTCTCAGTTGTTTCTGCACCCCCATCACCTGGCACAGAGCAGAGCCAAAGTAGGCAGGGAAGGAGTGAACCTGCAGAGGGCAGACAGCTATGATGGAGTCCCTAGACCAGCCTCACTAGAAAACCCCCAGCACTCAGAAAAACAGATGCTTACAGTTACGGTTTGTGACGGTGAAAGGATACAGAGTAAAACAAGTAAAAGGTTCATAGACCAGAGTCCTGGAGAGAGTCTCCCAGTAGCAAGTGACAGAACACACAATATTGCCAACCAGAACTCACCCAAGACTTGGTGCCATGGTATTTATTTATTGTGCATGCAGCTTCTCACTGTGTGAACGCACTGCGGCTGACTGTTGTGTGAGCACTGGATGAAGGCCTTTCCACACTCTAAGCAGGCACAGGGCTTCTCACCTGTGTGGATCTGCTGGCGCAGGCTGAGCTGTTAGTTCTGAATGAAGATCTGGACACCACGGCAGTCTGCAAGTGGCCTTTCCCCGCTGTGCTTCTCCGGTGCGTGACAAGCACTATTTTCCACATGCAGGTGTGCTCATACTCACCTGCTGGTGCCAGCTGAGATCTGAGCTGCTTTTGAAGGACTTGCCCGGTCCCACCGCATCTCTGACACGCGGCACCCAGGACCCCCACAGAGGAGCCACGCCCTCGCAGGGCAGCCACGCCCCCGCAGGACAGCCACGCCCCCGCAGGGCAGCCACGCCCTCACACGCAGCCACCCCACAGCAGGGTAGCCGCGCCCCTCACCGGGAGGCCACGCCCTCGAAGGCAGCCGGGCCCTTGACACGCCGCCACGCCCTCCCACCCGCCGATCACGCTGCGGGTTCGAGCCCCACCCCTTCTACCTGGAACCTCACCACGGCCCGGCTCGGGCACCCTCGCCCAGGCGGCGCCCGGGCCACGGCGCAGAGCCTTCTGGGACTTGTAGTCCGGACTTGGCGGGCGTGGGGCGCGCGGCCGGCTGGGGCCTCGGTCGCTCCGAGGACCAGAGAGCAGCCCCGGGCGCCGAAGGCGAGGCCGGCGCCGGCGGGTGGAGCGGCCTGGTGGGGCGCGTGAGGACCGGGCGCCGTCGCGGTCGGCGCGGGGTGGGGCGCGGAGTGCGCGGTGCGAGCCTCGGTCCCCGGCGTCGGCGGCACCTGGCGAGCCGCGCCGCCCGGCCGGAGTGGTCCCGCCGACCCCTGCGGTGCCCTGACGGAAGCGGGGGCGACGGGGTCGGGGTGTGACGGCTGCTGTGACGGGGACCCCGCTGCCGACGGAGCTCAGCGACACGAACCCGAGACGCGGGGCCCGAGTCTGACGGCGGACCGCAGGTGGGGGCGGCTCGCCACCGTGTGATGGCGGCGTTGGTCAGGGGACCGAACTGTGGGTGACCCAGAGATCGACCAAGTGGAGGGGCTGGTGCTCTCCGCCCGCAGCTCGAGACCCGCGGGCTGGGTCGTGGAGACCCCCCAGTCGGCGCGTGCGTGGTAGGGGCTGTGCGGCCGCCGAGCCCGTGGGCTGCGTGTCTGTGGGCCAGGCCTGGGCGGGACGCTGTCGCGGGTGCCCCAACCTCCTGGCCAGCCTCTGAGATAGGCGCTTGTATGGCGGGGTACCAGCAAGGGCTCGGAAGCGGCTGAGCAGCTGCACATGGGGGACCATCTTGACATGCACTCAGCAGGACTCTAAGGAAGGTCGATTTATTTTTTCTTTTTCTTTTCTCTTTTTGGTACCTGGGATTGAACTCAGGGGCACTCACCACTGACCACAGCCCCAGCCCTATTTCAGCTTTTATCTAGAGACGGGGTCTCACAGAGCTGCTTAGTGCCTGGCCTTTGCTGAGGCTGACTTTGAACTCGTGATCCTCCTCCTTCAGCCTCGGAAGCCCTGGATTACAGGCGTGCGCCAGCACCTGGGCCCGAGGAAGGTTTATTTTCTGTCTCAGAGACCCGCCAGGAGTTTACGCAGAGCGAGTGTGGCAGAATGGGGACTGGTGGAGACTAGAGCACTCTGGAAATGGACTTGGCCTGCTGTCCTGCGTGGCCTGTCAGGCTGGTTCCTAGAGCCGGCCGCTAAGGAAAGGCTGCGATAACCAGGAGGAATTAGATGCAGAGAGGAATTTCAGGAGGACCGAACAGCAGGGGCACCGGCCACGGTGGAGGGCAGTCACAGCAAGAGCCAGCCAGTAAGAGGCCCAGGTGAGCTTTATGGCTGAATCAAGGGTTTCAGGATGGGGTCTTGTTCTACTGACATTCCCTTCTTCCTGTGCCCAAGGCCGTGGATCCTTCTTAGGCTTGCTGCGTCCCTGTGCGGAGTGGCTTCCCTGAGCAGGGAAGAGAGAGAGCTATAAACACTTTTACCCAGGGGTGTCATGGACCAGAGGAAAAGGCAGGTCCTGGGATTAGGAAGAACATACGGCCAAAGCCATCTCCTAAGAGAGGTTACATTCCAATTGAGGTGTTTACCTTGAGTGTGAAAAAAAGAGAATTTCACTGTGACGAGTAGAAAATATAGAGAAAAATAACAGAATTATAAAATAATATAAAGGAACTTTACAAGGATGTAGAGAAATTGGAGCCCTCTCCCACAGCCCCTGGTATGTAATATGGAGCAGTCACTTTGAAGAACAACCTAGCTGTTGGTTAAAAAAGTCAAGTTAGTCTCTGGCTCACAAAGCTGAGGCAGGGGGATCTGAGTTCAAGGTCAGCCTCAGCAATTCAGCAAGGCCCTAAGCTTTTATATTTATTTAGAGTCAGCGAGATGCTGACTCTAAATAAATATAAAAAAGGGCTGGGGGGGCTGGGGATGTGGCTCAAGCGGTAACGCGCTCACCTGGCATGCGCAGGGCGCTGGGTTTGATCCTCAGCACCACATACAAACAAAGATGTTGTGTCCACCGACAACTAAAAACTAAATATTAAAAAAATTCTCTCTCTCTCTCTTTAAAAAAGGCTGGGGCTGGGGATGTGGCTCAAGCGGTAACGCGCTCGCCTGGCATGCGCGGGGCGCTGGGTTTGATCCTCAGCACCACATAAAAATAAAGATGTGTCTGCCGAAAAACTAAAAAATAAATATTAAAAAAAATTCTCTCTCTCTTTTTAAAAAAAAGGGGGGGCTGGGGATGTGTGTGGCTCAGAGGTTAAGTGCCCCGGGTTCAATCCCTAGTACCAAAACAAAGGTGAGCTGGATGTGGTAGTGCTTTAATCCCAGTGGCTCTGGAGGAAGATTACAACTTCAAAGCCAGCCTTAGCAACTTAGCAAAGCCCTAAGCAACCTAGCAAGACCTTGTTTCAAAATAAAAAGTAAAAAACCAGGCTAGGAGGGGCTGAAAATGAGTCTCAGTGGTAACCTGGTAAGTGCTCCTGGGTTCAATCCCTGGTACAAAAAAAAAAAAAAAAAAAAACAAAGGCAACCCAGTGAGATGGCACGTGCCTGTGATTCCAGCCACTCAGGAGGTGAGGCAGAAGGATCCCAGGTTTAAAACCAGCCTCAGCAACTTAGTGAGGCCCTAAGCAACTTAGCAAGTCTCAAAATAAAGGGGCTAGGGATGTAGCTTCATGGTTAAGCAACCCTGGGTTCAATTCCCAGTACAAAAACAATAAAATAAAAAGTCTGAAGTTATTGTTTCATTCCCCATTCCACTCCTAGGTATATATCTAGGAGAACTGAAAACACTTGCCTATGTAAAACTGTACATAAATATTCACAGCAGCAGTTAGCTCAAGATTTAATATAACCAAATGGCCATCAGTCGACGAAATGATAAAAAATACATAGTATATCTATACAATGGAATACTATTTAGTTATGAAAATACATGAAGTACTGATATATGCTAAGGTATAGATGAACCTAAAAAACTTTACTTTCTGTGAAAGAAGGCAGACACAAAAGATCATACGTGATCCTGTTTATATTAAGTGTTAATATTAAGCAAATCAACCAACACAGACTAGTACCTGCCAGGGGCTGGGAGGAAGGGAGATGGGCAGTGACTGCTCACAGGTATCTGTAGAAAGATGAAAATTCTCTGAAATTAGGTTTGGTGATGACTATGCAAACCTGTGATACAGTGACACGTACCTGGTACCTGTAATCCCAGGGACCCAGGGAGCTGGGGCAGGATGTGATGCAGTGACCTGGGATCTGGGGAGGGATGTGATACAGTGACACTCACCTGTAATCCCAGTGACCTGGGGAGCTGAGGCAGGAAGACTGCAAATTAACAACCAGCACCCCCCCCAAAAAAAAAAAAAAAACCCACTAACTTGGGCAATTGAGATCCTGCCTCTCAAGGTAAAAAATGAAAAGGGATGGGGATGTAACTCAGTGGTTGAGCACCCCTGGATTCAATCCCTAGTAAAATAAATAAATAAATAAATAGGAGCTGTAGCTCAAGGGTGGAATGCTTGCCTAGTACGTGTGAGGCACTGGGTTCAATCCTCAGCACCACATAAAAAGAAATAAAGTGTCCATCTACAACTAAAAATATCTTAAAAATTAAATAAATAAATGCCACTGGAAGAGTGAAATATATATAAATATATAAGGTATATATAAATAAATACATATAAAAAAGTTGTGTGGGTGTGTATATATGTGTGTGTCTTACACACATTGTGGATTGAACTAAGGGACGCTTGGGCACTCTGTCACTAAACTACATCCTCAGCCATTTTTTTTTTAAAGAGAGAGAGAGAATTTTTTAATATTTTTAATATTTATTGTTTTAGTTTTTCAGCGAACACAACATCTTTATTTGCATGTGGTGCTGAGGATCGAACCCAGCACCACGCACATGCCAGGTGAGCACACTACCGCTTGAGCCACATCCCCAGCCCAATCCTCAGCCATTTTTATTTATTTTTTTAAGTTTTTTTATTTTTTAGTTGTAGTTGGACACAGTACCTTTTACTTGATTGTATGTGGTACTGAGGATCAAACCCAGGGCCTCACGCTTGCTAGGTGAGCGCGCTACCACTGAGCCACAATGCCATTCCTTCAGCCATTTTTATTTTGAGATAGGATCTCTCAAAGTTGCCCAGAGTGACCTCCAACTTGGGAACTTTCTTCCTTAGCCTCCTGAGTCACTGGAATTATAGATGTACGCCACCGTGCTCAGCTTCATTCAATATGAATGAATATATATATGAAATATATATATATATATATATATATATATATATATATATATATATATACACACACATACATATATACACACATGGGCTGGGGTTGTGGCTCAGAGGTAGAGCACTCTCCTAGCATGTGTGAGGCACTGGGTTTGATCCTCAGTACCACACAAAAATAAAATAGAGATATTGTGTCTACCTATAACTAAAAAGTGAATATTAAAAAAGAAATATATATATTTATAAATATACATTTTTAAGCAGAAATTTCATAGCCCTAGAACCCAGAGGGACCCACCTGAAACTGCTACTTAACACTTTCCAATATTGTATTTTTTATACCAAAAACTTGTCTAAACTGTCTATAAATTATTATCCTGACTCTTTAACCACTTTCTTTCTTTCTTTTTTTCCTGTGCTGGGGATCAAGCCCAGAGCCTTGCACATGCTGAGAAAGGGCTCCACTACCAAATGACATCCACAATCCAGAAGCTCACAAAGTTTTCATGACGTGTGAAAATGTTATGTTAGATGTAGACCAATGGTAGAACACTTGCCTAGCATGTGTGAGACCCGGATTCCAATCCCCAGCACCACAAAGATAAAAACAAAAATTCATGAGCTTATTTTAAACCACTACAAGATATGTATTCATTTACTTACTGGTGTCTCCGTCTCAGCCACTTAACTTTATTTATTTATTTTTTTATCCTGGTACTGGGGATGGAACCCAGGGACTCTTTACCACTGAGCTACATCCCCAGCCCTTCTTAGTTTTTATTTTGAAACAGGCTCTCGCTAAGTTATTGACTCTGGTCTCAAACTTGTGGTCCTCCTGCCTCAGCCTCCTGAGTTGCTGGGATTACCAGCCTTTGCTTTCCTTTGTGAAATCCATCATAAATAACATTTTTTGACATGCATTTTCTATCCATTTTCTGAATATTTCAGAAAATTGCCCTCAGGGGCCGTGTAGAAATGTGTGGGGTGTGTTTGTGTTATGATGACTAGGGGAGGAAGCTTGCTGTATTCTGGGGTGGGAGCAGGTGTGTTAAAGTCCTGCATGTGAAGAACAGGCCCCAAAAGGAAGTGCTGTCCCTCTACAAATGTCAGTAGCTCCCCCATCTACAAGTGGGGCTGGATTCTGAGAAGAAGGGTTGATACTGAGCCAGAGGCATGAGCACTTAAAGCTCTTGTGACATGATTGCCCCCAGGAGTAGTGCAGTGGCTTCCCACTGGCTGGCCCCCACCAGCATTCACTGCTCACGGTTCCTCTAGAGTCGGGATGGTTGTGAGGAGAAGCCCCTGTGGAGGAGGGACAGCAGACACCTGTGTTCTGCCCAGCTCTGTACCTGCTGACCAAGTGACCCCAGGAGCTCCCTTCCCCAGCTTTTCAAATGCACGCAGTACTGGGGCTCACAGAGTGGTGAGGGGTGACTGTAACAGGCAGGCCTGGACCTGAAATCTGTTCTCCTCTCCTTGTACGCCTGTCACATGTACCTGTGTCTGTGGCCAGCAGCACTGCCGCAAGTGAGTTGCACCCTACCTTGCAGCAAGGGAGACAGGTCCAGGCAAGGGCCGGCCAACACAGACTGAGGCCAGGGCCTGGTTCCTGGGCCACTGAGCTTGACTGGACTAGAGCAGCGGTCACTTCACCCTCGACCTGCCTCCTCCCCCGGAGCATCCTGTGAACCTGGCCAGATGAAGCCCCTCAGGCGCCCTTTGCACCCATGAAGGGCAGGTCAGTGCCGGCATGCCTTTCCCTCACACGTCCTGCTCTCCAGCTGCCCCTCAGCCACCGTCTTCCTTCACGGCGCTTCATGAGGGGTGGGTCTTGGGCCTCCCAGGAGCTTGAGTGGCCAGGTGGGCACTCCTGGCAGCAGGCATCCACTGGGCTTCTGTGGGAACTGTCACGGTCATTGGCATCCAGATGGACCCCTTGTCCAGCCAGTGCTCGCTGAGCACTGCGACTCCCCCAGGCCAGAGCAGTGTGGTGTGAGGGGTGCAGCCATCCTCGGAGCTGGGGTCCTCCCTGGGGAAGCAAGTGTGGCAGCCAGGTGAGCACAGTCACTCCCTGTCTCTGCGGTGCTTGGTGTGTGTGTTCACGCACTGAAGAGAGTCCAGTGGTGCTTCACCACTAAGCTACATCCCCCAGCCCTTCTTATTTTGGGGACAGGGTTTCAATATGTTGCTAAGACTGACCTCAAACTTGTGATCCTCCTGCCTCAGCCTCCTGAGTTGCTGGGATAGCACCCCTGCCTGGCCTCTCTTGCCTCTTTCAACTCAGTTCCACCTGAGGTTTTTCTTCCGACGCTTAAGCTAAAATCAGGACCCCTGAAGGATGGAGAGTTGGTAGGGGTAGGGAAAATCAGAACCCGTGATGCAGTTTGGGAGGTGTGGGAGGGCAGCCTTGTGTCCTCCAAGACACCAAGTGAGATGCTTCCTTTTGGAAATGGGCCCAAGGGCTGGGAGTGTAGCCCAGCGGTAGAGCGCTTGCCTGGCATGCTGAGTCACCAACACTGCCTACCAGGGCTCCCTCGGGGAGGGGTGGTCTGTTGGCTGGTGGGGGGGCAGCACCTCCCTTCACACACTCAGGGGAGAAGTCCAGGTGTGCTGGATGTAGGAGAACATTCCAGGCACCTCAGCCCTCGGGGCTCACCAGAAGGGCCATCCCAGAAGACGCCGCATGCCGCAGTGAGTGTGGAAGGCCTTCAGCCGCGTCACCCACCTGGCCCACACTGGGGGTCCACAGAGGGTCCACACTGGGGAGAAGCCCTACAGGTGCGATGCGTGCGGCAGAGCCTTCAGCGACTGCTCGGCTCTGATCTGGCACCTGCGAGTCCACTCTGGAGAGAAGCCCTACCGGGGCCAGGTCTGCCCCAAGGCCTTCGCACAGAGCTCCTCCCTCATGGAGCACCAGAAGACCCACACCAGGGAGAAGCCCCACAGGTGCAGCAACGTGGGAAGCCTTCAGCCGCAGCTCGGCCCTCCTGGGCACCTGAGGGTCCACGTCAAGGTCTGCAGTGACTGGAGTTGCTCTCGGGACAGAACTGAGCCTTCCTCAGAGCCTCAGCTTCTACCAGTCCTGAGCCCTGAGTCGAGAACAGGGTGGGTGATGACAAGCCCCCCCGGGAGCCTGACGGCAGACCAGGGCTGTCAGAGAATCTGCATTTGAGGACCAGGACAGAGTGATTCAGCCAGCTGGGCAGCTTCCAGAAGGGTCCTACTTTCCTTAATATCCCACTCAGGTCAGTCCCAGAGGCAGCTGAGCTTGGATGTGGATGGGTTCTCGGGGCTGGGGCAAGTGGAGGCACGCGTCTGTCAGGGCGCAGGTGTCCCCAAGGCTCCGGGCAGGGAAACCAGCCATGCTCTCTGGGACTGCGCTTCTCACTGCTTCTGTGCTGCTCAGTAAAGGACGCCTGCCGCGACTCCTCTGTGCCTTTGCACCCAGGGTCCACTCCTCCCTGAGCCTGCCTCCCGTGAGACCCTCGCCAGACCGTCTCTCATTCTCCTGTTCCTCCATGCTGCTGCCCACGCCCTCTCCCCTCTGGCTTGCCTCACGCACCCGTGTGTTTCACCCGAGGCCGATCTCCAGTGCACCCCTTCCACCACCTCATGCAGCCCTCCGCGCCTCCCGCCTGGGTGACAACAGGGTCCCCTTCCTGCCATCATTCTCTCCCCTGCTGCGTCCTCCTGGGCCTGGCACCTGAAGCTGACTGTGTCGCTCTGGTGGGAAGCTCTCCACCTACAGCAGACCTTCCTGAACGGTCACACGTTGGCCAAGACACACGTCACCCTGGGACCCGAGCAGCCTTTCGACCATTCTCAAGTGTGCGAACAAAGGCTGCCCCTGGCTTGTGTGCAGAGCTGTGACTGTGGTTCCAGAGTGCCGCCTGGGGCAAGCCGGACTCCTCACCTGCGGCTCCGTGACCTGTTCTTCTCCGGCCTTGTGTACACAGCCTCTTGGAACGGCGTTGGTTCCTAAAAAGTCATACTTCCCCCACTTCGCGCCTTTGCTGCCTGTACTTCTCTTTCCTTTGGGATGTCTCTCATGTTCCCGCCTCCTCAAGCAGACTCCACTCCTCTCTGCTTCCAGGCACCCTGCCCTCTCTCTCACCTCCTACCCGTCCCTTTACAACTGCAGAGCATGGGATCTGTGCAGGGCCTGAGGGCTCAGTGTTTCAGTGCACTGATGCAACAGGCCCTGACTGATGTCACCATCATGGCTGGTGCTTTCCCTGGGCAGCCACAGCACTCCACATTGTCCCGACACATACAGGCTCCCAGATCTGCACCCTGCAGGGCAAGAGCTCTTGTGCCCAGGCCAGCTGGCAGGCAGTGACTCAACATGTGTCTGCATTGAGTCTTCCCTTCCAAGGGCCCTCGAGCCCCTGGTGCCGTGGATTCCGTGATTGCCGCCCTTCACCAACTCTGCAGCCTTGCCCCTCTTCCAAGGTCCAGCGTGTAACTGATGTCCAGGTTCTGTTCCTTGTTATCAGGGTGTCTTCAGGCCTCTGCTTTGATGACCCCATCCTGTGTGAGGCACTCAACCTGCCACATCATGCACTGGTCACTGTCACCCTCAGCATCTCCATCACATGGTCCCTCTGTCACGAATACACAGACCACAAAGACTGAAGAGGTTCAGAGCAGGAAGGTGAGACCCAGGGAGAGCCCGGGCACAGGCAGAGCTGGCCACACATGGCAGAAACTGAGGGCTCCAGTGACGTGGTAGCCCAGCTTCCCACACGCTGGCAGGAACAAGATTGGCATGAGCCTGCCGTCCAGCTGCAGAGCCTGCTCCCAGGGTGACTTCCTGAACCTCCGTGGCCTCCTCCATAGAGCAGGGACAAGATCACTGTACCACACCTGACCCCTCTTCTGGCTCTGACTGAGGCGCCCAGCTCCACTTTGCTGTCCCCCATGTGCCTGGCCTCCATCTACCAAGGCTCCAGGCTTCTCTGCCACTTTACCGTGGGATGTCCATGTCCGTCTGAAGGGCAGGCAGGGGAAAGAGGAATCTACTGAGGGACTGTGCTTGCTGGTCAGTCTGCCAGGTAATCTGTATACAGTATCACAGAGGACAGGGGCGTCCCTGTGGTGCCAGGGGCTGGGGATATAACTGACTGCTGAGGTCACATGGCCAGGCACTGGCAGCTCGGGACTTGAGAACACCAGGTACTTCAGCAGACACCATGTCCTAATCTGGTGAATATACTCAAGCCACCAAATTGGGCACTTTGGAAAAGTGAACTTTAACTGGGTGCTGTGGTGCACACCTGTAATCCCAGCTTCACAGGAGGCTGAGGCAAGAGGATCACAAGTTCTAGGCCAGCCTCAGCAACATGGACCCTGTCTCAAAAAAACAAAAGTGCTGTGGGTGCAGCCCAGTGGTAGAGGACCCCTGAGTTCAATCCCCAGCACCACACAAGACAGAAAAGAGCGTCACACCTTCAGCCAGTCTGATATTTTAAGAGAAGGAACAAATTACAGGTTGAGCATCCCTAATCCAGAGATCTGAAATGTTCCAAAATCCAAAAACTTCTGGCTGCCAATATGATGCCACATATGAAAAATTCCACTCCTGACTTCGTTCAGTGGGTTGCAGTCACATGCAGGTGCACTAAAAGTACTGTATAAAAGTACCTTCAGACTGTTATAGAAAGTGTAAGTAAAAGAACGGAGTCTCATTTAGATTTGGATCCTGTCCCTCAAATATCTCATTATATATGCAAATATTCCAAAATCTGAAATTCAGCATGACATCTGTTCCCGTGCTTTTTTTTTTTTTTTTTTTGGAATTCAACCAAGAGATTTTATTGGGGGGTCTGCCTGAAGGAGAGGCAGAGAGAGAAGAGGAGGAGGGCAGAAAGAAAGGGTAGAGAGGAGAGAAAGAAGAGGAAGAGGGCAGAGAGGGACAGAGAGAAGAGAGTATGTGCTTATAAGCTTTGGCTTAAGAGGGTTGCATAGGGGATGTGGTGGGTGCTGAGTGTCAGGGTGACTCAGGAACAGCAAGTGGACACTGTGTCCCATGGGGATCGGTCAAGAGGAAACCTTTGAATTCAGTGCTCTTGGCTTGGTGTCCTTTGGAGAGGAGGGGGGGGTGAGGGATTCAGTGATGTTTTTGTGAGAAGGGGGAGTCTCCCACACACCCAATATTCCTCCCTTTTTATTTTTGTGTTGGAAGTAGGTTGACTACGGTGACGAAAGTTCTCTGGCTACTTCCTGCTGGAGAGGGACATGTGAAGGAAGGGAGGGATGGTCAGGGTGCGGGGACAAGAGAAGCATCGCTGTAAAGGCCAGGGCGCTGAAGATGTGAATTTCTTTGGGCTGAAATTGATGAAAGTTCCTCGAAGCCATAGGTCATGGATAGTCTCCATCCAATCCTTGTCCCTGCAAATGGGGGGAGTCAGCCAGGTGTCCTGTCGGAGGGCCTCCGCGAACTCCGCGAACCAGGTGAGCCACTTTGATGAGCCAATTTGTAGGCCGATGGTGGATGCGAATTAGGCGATGGAGAAGATGGGCGTAGGTTGGTCTCCGCTCAGGTGATCTCTGATGGGATGGGATCCTGCTAAAGGCAGGGGAGCCCCATCCGAGTCAGGGCACCAATGAAAGGTGAGTGACTCACCTGAGATGGACATCCAACCAAGAGATTTTATTGGGGGGCTGCCCGAAGGAGGGGCAGAGGGAGAAGAGAAGGAGGACAGAAAGAGAGAGAAAGGGTAGAGAGAGGAGAGAAAGAAGAGGAAGAGGGCAGAGAGAAGAGCTGTAGCACAGATATTAAAAGCACAATAAAGGAACATATCAAATACCTCTGTACACTTATATCAAAAAACTTAGATGAAATTGCTGCCTTGAAAGTCAGAAGCTACTAAAATTAACCAAAGAATGTCCTATATTAAATTGAATTTATAAACATTCTGGAAAGTGAAACTCCAGGCCCAGAAAAATTAAGTCAGAAATAGAAGAAAGGGAATGACACACAAAACAGACAATAGAAAAACTAACACAGCCAAAGTTCTTTGAAAACATTTTTAAAATTGAGCCAGGCATAGTGGTGCATGCCTGTAATCCCAGCAGCAGGGGAGGCTGAGGCAGGAGGATGGTGAGTTCAAAGCCAGCCTCAGCAACTTATCCAGACTCTGACTTTAAGTAAAATAGTTTTTAAAAGGCTAGGATGTAGCTCAATGGTTAAGCACTCCAGGGTTCCATATCTCTCTCTCTCTCTCTCTCTCTCTCTCTCTCTCTCTCATTATATATATATATATTTAATAAGCCCCCAGCTAGAGAAAGAGCTCACATCATTCATGGAAGACGTAGTCATTTGTAGACATCACAGAACACTTTATCATTACTTAATGATGCTAACGCACCTACTGTGTGCCAGGACCTCACCAGCCAGCTCTAGGCAGGGACCAAGCAGTGGTCCACGGGGTTGTCAGAGCTGTGGGAGAGCGGAAGACCAAGGAATCCAGCGGCTTACACAGCTCTGCCGGCACCATCCAGGACCACCATCAGACTTGGAGGAGGAGACCACAGAATGCAGCCTGGTGTGGGGACTGCCCCTGTCAAAGCAGGGTTGGGAGGTCTGGAGACAGGCTACCTGCCAGGCGGAACAGAGGTGCCTCGGGAGTAGGAGGCAGCTTGGTGGAGGAGGCGGAAGAAAGGGATTTGGGGGGCCCGGGGTTGTGGCTCAGCGGTAGAGCGCTTGCCTAGCATGCGCGAGGCCCTGGGTTCGACCCTCAGCATCACATAAAAATGAACAAATAAAGATATGGTATGCAACTGCAACTAAAAATAAATATTAGAAAAAAGAAAGAAAGAAAGGGACTTTGGGAAGTGTGGACCCAGAATTAGTCCTCCACCCTCAGGATCCAATCCAGAGCCCATCCACTTTTCAGGACACAGATCTCAATTCGGAACCTACTGACAAAGACACGTTTTAAACATTCTTGACATTTATTAACTTCCAGGAGAAACGAGGGACGGGCTGCCAGCCTCCCAGGGTGTGGCCATCAGCTGCAGCAGGAGGGTGGCCGACCTACGTGGGTCCAGAGCGGAATCAGCGTCCTAGGCAATAAGACCCGAGAAGTGAGACAGGAGCCAGGCCTGGGCCCCTGCCCGGGTCACCCCTGGGGAAGGAAGGGGCGTGGTAGGTGGCCCGCCTCGCCCCCTCGGGTGCCCCGCGGGCCTCCTGCCCGGTGCTTACCCGCCACCAGGAGCTCCACCGGGTCGCTGAGCCGCGACGGGAAGGAGCCGGCCCCCCAGGGGTGGTAGCGGCAGCTGTAGTTGCCCGCGTGCTGGGGCCCCACGAATTCCAGCACCAGGTCGGCCGAGTTGCCCGCCGTGCGGAACGTCACCGAGGGCTCCTCCTCGCCCGCGCGCAGCAGTTCGAAGGCGACGTCTGGCACGTGACTCTCGCAGCGCAGGACGGCGTCGCGGCCCGCGGGCACCGGCCCGCTCCACAGGGCTCGGAGCCGCGGCCGGGGAAGCAGCCCTGCGCGCAGTGCGCAGTGAGGCCCCGGCCGCTCCCGAGACCCCTGTGCCCGCGGCGGGTCTGCCCCTCCACTCCCTGCCCCGCGACCCAGCCGTCACGTCTGTATCTGGCCTCTGCGTCGCGTCCGCCAGGACCACGGGACCCCCAGGCCCGGCCTGCCCCGAGGTTCCGTGGGGCCCCCAGCGTCATGGAAGGGAAGAAGCCATCCAGGAAACGGCGTTCTCCGCGGAGTACGGCCCAAGGGTCAGGCGGCAGGGCGCGGTCTCTGGCCCGCCTCCTCCCCAGGAGACCTCAATGAGGGGACCCCGGAGCTCGGGAGAATCACCCCTGGACCCCGCCTGCGGAGGCGCGGCCCCGAAAAGGGCTTTGTTGAGCACACCTGGCTCTGGCCCCCAGGCCCTGGTCAAGCACCACCTGGAGCCCACGGCCACAACTGGAGGCGCCGCGGGGCCCTCCGAGGAGGGAGAGTGAGCGCCACGCAGACGCCCTGCCCGCGCCGTGCTCACCGTCTACGCGCAGTTCCAGAGGCGCGCTGCGTGCCGAGCCCGCGAAGGGCGGCGTCGGGTCCACGTAGATGCAGCTGTAGTTGGCCGTGTCCGCGGCTGACACCTCGGGCAGCTCGAAGACCGCCTCTGGCCCCGCGGGGCTCAGCAGGCCACTCAGGCGCTGCCCGCCCGCGCCCTGGCGACTGAGCGCGAAGCGCAGCCCCGCCCGGGGCGCGCGGCACCGCAGCCGCACGAGCGAGCCGCTCGCAGGGCTGGTGCCCTCCGGCTCCACCACGAGCACCGGCGCGGGCAGCGTCTCTATGGAAGAGAAGGAGGCTGACCTGGCCGAGGGCGGCTGGGCCTGAGCTGTCCCTGCCTTTGCCGGGACCCAGCTCCCGCTATAGACATCCCGCCGCGCGAAGGACCGCCTGCCGCCAAGCGCACAGCGCTTCCCCGCCCAGGGACACCGGCTCCCGGGAGGCGGCTTGGCGCCGGGGGCCCGACGGCCCTCGGTCGGGGGCTGGCACCGCGGGGTCTGCGGCGCCCGGGAGCTCGCTCCTGGGGCTCGCGGTCCGGGGCCCACGGTGTGAGCCTCAGCGAGCCTGGGCTAGCGGCCCCGGGCTCGAGGCCCGCCGCCGGCCCTGGCCCCGGGACAGACGGCTCCTGCCGCACCCGCCGCCTGGCCCACTCATCCCCAGCGGGGCCTGGGTGTGGCCGCGTGGACCCTCTGCCAGGCGCTTCCGCAGGTCCCACCTCTCCCTCGGGCTCCGGGAGGGCCGCGAGCGCCCGCCGCCCGCCCCTGCCGGCCGCCTGACTCACCGTCGCTCCACACCGGCTCCGTGGGCGCGCTGTCCGCCGACCAGGCGGCTTCCTCGGAGCGCAGCCGGTAGCGGCAGGTGTAGGGACCGCTGTCCCCCGTGTCCGCCGCGTTCAGGTGGAAGAAGACGCGGTCCGGGCTGGTGCTGCTCCTGGGGACCAGCAACTCCTCTCCGCGCCGCCGCAGCTGGAAGTGAACGCCGTCCAGGGGCGCCACGCAGATGAGGGTCGCGCGGTCGCCCGGGCGCAGGACCTCGGGGAACTGTGCATTTAAACTTGGCGGCGGCGGCGAGGCTGCGAGGCAGAGAGGTCGCTGCGGTGGCGCCAGTCCGCCCAGCAGCCTCAGGAGCAACCTTCCTTCTCTGAATTCCCACGCCCCGCGCGGGCTCTCAGTGTGGGGGGTCAACACTCACTCATCTCCTCGATGCTCACAGTGGCGCTGGGCTCAGAGGGGTCACCTGCGCTGTGGGTCCGGTAGCTGCAGCTGTAATTGCCGGCCCGATGGACTGGGAAAGTGACCTCTCTGCCCTGCCCGGCCTCAGCCACCTCCAAAAATTCATCGTCGCCTTCCCGCCTCAGCAGGAAGGTGACACCCAACAGCCCCCCGTGACACAGCAGAGTGGTGTTCAGGCCGGGTGTGATCCAGGGCACCGGCTCCGTGGAGAGCCAAGGTGGGGGCAAGGGCTCTGTGGAAGAGGCGGGGGGGGGGGGGGGGGGGGGGTCTGCCTGACTCGGACCCGGGTGGCTCACCTGGACCTGGACCCCATACTCTAAAAAGGGGAGGGACCCAGGTAGGTGGAGCATATTTTTAAGGGAGGCAAGAGCAAGCCTGGAGGGACGGGCCCTGAGCCCTCTCGGGGGATTCAGCCATTTATTCTCAGCCCTCTGGGGAGGGGACAGACATCCTCCCCGCTGGACAGATGGGAAGCGGGCTCAGAAGCCAGGTGACTTGCAGGGAGACTGCCCATCAGCTTCCGCCCCACTGCCTCCTGGACTCCATCCTCAGCCCTGCACACCTGTCCCTGTCACTTCCAGGAGGTTGCTCAGTGCGGTCCATCGCCCATCCCTAAGCCTTGAGCGGCAGCGGTAGAGGCCCTGGTGGTCACTGGTCACTGCTCCCAGCGGGAACTGGTGCTCCATGGTGGGTGCGCTCAGGTGCACGAGCTCCTGCATCACCCCACCCTTGAGCAGCTGGAAGTCCAGGGTGGGCCACCGGGCCTGGCACCGCAGGGTCACGTTGGCCCAGGGTTCCAGCAGCGATTCTGGCTCTGCCCACAGGCTGGGTTTGGTCTCAAATACTGGGGCAGGGGACGCTAGGTCAACTTGGTGCTGGGGGACAGGGGCTCCCCACAGTTGGGGGCCCCCTGTCCCCCAGGCCCCAGCCCTGCACTTACCCACGGCTGCCTTGGTTGCTGGGTCCAGGGTGAGACCTGCAGAGACAGCACCCATGATGCTCCATTCACATAGCCCTGTCCCAGGGTAGCCCAGACCCCAATGCCTTACCCCAGAGCAGCAGGGAGGCCACCAGCACAGACATGGTGGTGACCCCGCACTCCACTGCCTACGAGTGTGGTGTTGTATAGAGTGGCAGGTGGCTTGGGGCACTGACCTCTTCCCTTGTTTGTCTTTCCCAAAAGGCAGGGACAGAGGCTTTGGGACTGGGGACAAGGATGAACCTGACAGGAGCCACCATGGCTTGAGCAATAGTACTATTAATGGATAACTGGTGATCCATATGCACAGCACTAGGGTCCTTTTCTGAGAAGAAATGTGGAGTCCTCTCCTGCCCTCATGAGCCACACCCCACAGTGACCCAGAGGTGGGGGACCCTGTGAATTACTTGGGTTTTCTGGAAGCCTGGGGGCTGCAACTTCTCCATCAAGTCCCACCTGTTACTCAGGACACTCAGCTCAAACCTGTGTCTCCAGCCTCTCCTGGTGACACAGCTGTGGACACTACCCAGGCTGCCCAAGTTCCCCAGTAACTAGCCTACGGTCGTGCAGGCCACCCATGGTAGGTGCCTTGTGAGGGCCCCATGACCTACAGCCTGCCCTCCCCAACCCCGAGACCTTTGCTGAGCCTGGTGCTCTGGGGAGATGAGTGTGAAAGCTGACTCCGGAGGACCCCAATCACACCTCAGTAGAGCTGCAAAGCCTCACTCCTGTAATTAGCATAAACTGGGGAATAGATGTGACATCTAAGGGTATTTACCAAAGAAGACAGGATACAACATGGGCCTGTTAATCAGCTTGTCATTAGGCTGCCGCTCTCGTGATTTTGTCACTTTGCTTCTGAGTATTCCTACACAGAGGCTTTGGGGGATGCCTCATATCCAAGCCGTAAGAGCCAGGATCAACTATTATTTCCCTCCCAGTTCTGGGGAGTGAACTTAGGACCTTGAACATGCTAGGCAAGCACTACCATTGTGATACACTCCCCACCCCCAGCTGTTTTTACTTTGAGACCAAGTCTTGCTAAGTTGCTGAGGCTGGCCTTGAACTTGTGACTTTTCCACCTCGGCTCCCATGTAGCTGGAGTTGCGGGTGTGCATCACAGTTTCCATCCCTGGATCCTCTTGATTCATATGGGATAACTTACAAGACGAGACATAGTTGTTAGCTCTTGCAGCTTGAAGATCAAGTTTGTTTAGTAGTCTGGCTGATAACTGGACTCCATGGTGGCCCAAATTCAATGAGACAACTTCCAGAGCTGCTGTGGTGTAATGAGGAGAATCCAAAGGCTTTAGGACACGGGAAGTGCTGGAGTGCACTTATCCTGTGCAACACCAGGCACACACGCACCCCCACCACTCTCCTCCTCAGCCCAGGCTGGCTCCCCCTCTCCGTGTCCTGAAGGCCTTTGCACCCACTTGCCTGGCTTGCTCTCTGCCCCTGAGGCTATTAGATCTTCAGACAAAACTTGAAAATAGGAGAGGGGAGAAGATTGTTCTCCTATCTCTGTACCCACTCCAGCAGTTATTCCTAATCCCACCTGGAAAGGAATTAGTTGTATATCCTGCTTAGCTCTAATGGATGATGTGAAAGGTGTGATTAGAGTCTTATTACTAGGGGCTATGCTAGATAGACTAGTGTACACGTTCCTGTCCAGTGAGCTGGTAGGCACAAGTAGGAATTTGTTCAACAAAGAAACTAGTTTCAATAATGAACATGTAAGTTAGTATTTTTTATTTTCAAATCCCCATGTGAATAGGGTTCCAGTTAATGTAGCCCCTGTCAGAGGCTGGAAGGGACCATGGGACTGGTCTAGGGTTGCCCCTAAGGTCTTTTTTTTTTTCCTGGTGATGAGGATCAAACCCTTGGCCTTGTACATGCAAGGAAAGCACTCTACCAACTGAGCTAAATCCCCAGCCCAAGAAATTTCTTTTTATGTCAATGAGACTCCACAGTCAAGTTTTCATATCCGAGGATTAGCAAGCATTCTGCAGGGATAGGGTTGGAACAAGTCTCCCAAGGGAAGATACTGTGCCAGCAGAAAGTCTGTCCTGGCTGTAGCCTAAGTTTCTGTTTAATAATTAATACTTTTCAAGGTTGGTTTTCAGAAGACTGTACTGTTTGTTTAAAGGGGGCATATTGGGCCTCTGCATAATTAGCGTGGTTGTCTCAGGGGGTAATTATTAAGGTGTGGTTGCAAAAATGGTCTTCTAATTTCCCCTAGTTGTGCCCTCTGCTCCCTCCAGATAGAGGGGCGCCTGGAACTTGAGCCTCATTTGGGTTGTAATAAGCCCCTATATTGGCAGGCAAGATGAAGTCTTAGTACTGAAGGAGTTGAATTGCCCTTGCAGTCATTGTGTTTAGTAGTACCTGTGATTTTAAATTAGTATAAATCATCAAAAGTCATTAGCTGGAATGGATGACCACCTTGATATTTAGGATGGATACACATGGCCTGGAATGGCAATATTATCTGTGGAGCTGCAGACAGGTAAATCCAGCAGTCCTTGGCCAACCCTGGGTTAGACAGATTTAAAAGACAGTGGGTAAGGTGTAAAGTTTTTCTTTTTTGCTTTACTTTTTACTTTAATAAATCATCTGTATCTTCTATAATAAGCATAAAAGATACCTACCTCTTTGGTCATATTTATTTAGTAACTAAAGCATTAAATGACAATTTTTACTTTTAATATTATGTTCATTATACTTGAGATTGTTTAGCTTTCATGTAGAGAAAAAGAGACCCAGGCATGTGCACCTGCTAGGACTGCTAGGTATGTAGACAATTTCTATGAAGTGGACAGAAAGAAATCAATAAGAGTGACTGTAAAGTGGCCAATCAAGTGCTATTATCTCTAACCCACTGCTCAGTCCATTTCAAGATGTGATCTATATTATTCTAGTTCTAGTTTATTGCTGGACAGTTGATGCACAATTTCTTCTGTAGGATGCTATGGCTTCTTCACAGAGAACTTGAGAAATCTCACACTGAATGTTATCTTTTAATTTCTTCTCACCACATAAACCCTTGTTTCAAGTCGTTTGTACAATAAACTGTTATCTGTTCTCAACACAAAAACTATGTGAAACCAGTGTCCAAGGAAGAAATCACAACTATGGTAATCAACAATAGTTTTAAAGTGGCACCCCCTTTCTCCACAGAAAAGTCTTGTCTTCTCCAGAAATCTTCACCATGGCTGATTTTAGGACTGTCAGCAAAAGAGTCTCTGCAAAAGAGTCCAATGTAGATAAACTTCCTATTTTCGTGTCGCCATGTTTATTTGGCCACTGGCTGAGAAGATACCAGCACTCCCGGTTCTGTTTTTTTACTAGTTTTTCAAACGTATCCAGTATAGTAGTTTGTAGAAATGTGCAAACAAGGCCTCTGGCCTTGAGCTGGGCTTCACAGAGATGTCTACATTTTTAAGATAAGTTGCCAGTTGGGCTCCATGGTAACAGCTGGCAGGGGGAGGAAAGAGAGGGGAGAAGAAGCTCCCCCCTTCTCAGGTGCTGTCCTTGGAGGGTTAACTTGCCCAAAACAGTGAAAGAAAAAGCTGCTTCTATGTGAACTTCTGCAGACTGTGAACTTCTGAGCCCCTCCCCTTACATGCTGGGTGTAAAACTCTGAAACTACATGAACTCGGGTTTCAGAGGATTAACTGATTACAGCAAAAGCTGTGCCCTCTGAACATGGCTGCAGCCAAATAAAACTGTTTCCTGCTGTCTTTGGTGCCTTGCCTCATCTATCCCTACAATAGTTTCACCTTCTCTCATTTGGTTTTCTAACTCATCAACTATTCTATCTTCATCTAAAATGGGACAATCATATTCTTCATCAGTCATTATATAACTACCCTTCTCAAGCTAAATCACCCACATTAATGTATTTCAGTCCTGATATTGATGCAAGTCCTTTGCCTAGCGTAGTTTTTCCAACCCCTGGAGTACCTGGCCTTTTATGACACATTTCCATCGCATGATCACATCCAGAGGCACAACTCTGGTCTGCATTTTGGGTCAGGAATTATATGGGATCAATTGTAAAGTTTTAAACAAATATGTTAGATCTAAAGATCTCTTAGAGGCTGACTTGAGCCAATTACTGACCAAAGGGTGAGGTTTAGTCCTGGGAAGGAGATCCCTACACCTTGGTTGGAAGGTTTTATGGTCAGCATTGCAGAGACAATGAGTAAGTTTGGTTATAGATAAGACAAAATAGTTATTACCTTGTTAAAATACTCAGCTAATCATTAAGTGATTGTACTAAAGAGTAGCTTGAGGTCCTCAATTGGCTCACTGAAGGGGGTCTGCAAATCCAGTCCTGACTCAGGAGAAGCAGGAGCTATCTTCACTCTTTGAGTGATGTATGCGGCTGCTGATTTATGTGACCTTAACAACTGTGGAGGTGGCCAGGATTACTAGGCAGGGTCCCTTCCATTTAGGTTTTTTGTTGGTGGTGGTGTTTTGGTACTGGGGATTGAACCCAGGGGTGCTTAAGCATTGAGCCACATCTCCAGACCTTTTTACTTTTTATTTTGAGACAAGGCCACTTTAAGTTGCTGAGGCTGGCCTGAAACTTGCAATCCTCCTGCTTCAGCCTCCTGGGCCGCTGGGATTAGAGCTGCGTGGGCCACCGCGCCGGCCGTTTAGGTTTTAGCTGGTTTTCCAGAGACCCTCCTTTCAAGTTTTTAGGACTCGGTGTTCGCGACGCACGCTGAGCACTTCCAGGGCTTAACTGGGCAGGGGGCTTTCGCCTGGGGCCGTAGGTGCACAGGGGACAGGCTTTAAGTTTTTTTTTTCACCGTAGCTGTTGTTTTGTCACCCTGGAGAGTCGAGTGGGTTCACGACTTCTCTTCCCATAGAGTCGTGTGGGGCCCAGGGCTTCCCTGCGGGGGACACAAGGCGGGCACAGCCGCCAGCCCTTCCCGGGAGAGCACCTCCAGGCCCGGGTGGGCCCTTCGGTTCCTACTGGCCACTCCCCCTAACTGGGACCCCCACCTCCCCTTCGGGTTCCCGCAGGCCGGTCCTCCCGCGGCCACCAACGCCTGGGTCGAAGGAACAGCGCGGCGGGCACTGCCCAGGCGCCATGGCAGGCGAGCGAGCCAGGAGTGAGGCGCGGCCAGGGACAGCCCGGAGCCGGGGAGTGGGGACGCGAGAGCGAACTAACGCACGAAGAGGAAGGGTGCGCCGAGAGGACCCGCCCGTCCAGCGCCGAAGCGCGCCAGGCCCGGCGCTTCCGCCTGAGCCCCACTTCCGGGCCGCTCTGGGCGCCGTGGCGGCCGGGTTCTCGGTGGTCTCGGAGAGGCTCCTCCGGCCCCGAGCCCGGCGGCCGTCCGCCTCACCCAGCGTCCTGGCCGAGCCCGGCGCCCCCCGGCACGGACCTCCGAGGCCGGCTCCCGGGACTGAGTGACGGCACAGGCTCTCTGAGGAGACCTGCGCCCGCCCCCTCGGAGCTGAGACGGCGCGGGACCCCGGCCAGCGCCACCCCGCACGGTCTCGGCCGCTGGCGGCTGCTCCCCACCAGGCGCTGGCCGGCCAGTGGGGGACTGCGCGTCCTCGCCGAGCCCGTCTACTCGCCCCTGGAGCTTTGTTTCCCCCGGGCAGCCCCCACTCCGAGTCCTGGTGGCTCAGACGAGTGTGGGCCCACGGCCCAGCCAAACATCGCTCAACCAAAGACGTGGACCTGTGAGCATCTGGGGCCGAGGATTCTGCGGGCGCCTCCGTTTCCTGTAGAACTTGAAGCTCTGAGCACATCAGCTGGAACCGCCGCAGCCTTCTTCAGCTGAAGAGGGGAGAACCTATTCAGGGAGTGGATGGAGTCCATATAGGGAAGAGAAACGTTTCCTGTGCCGTAGCAAATTCCCACGAACTCAGTGACTTAAGACAACCGTAATGTGTCGGGCCTTGATGATGCCTGTCTGTAATCCCAGACACTCGAGGCCTAAAGTAAAGGGCTGTAAACTGAAGCCAGCCTCTGCAGTTTACTGATACCCTGTGCTCAGTGGTAAGGTTCCTGGGTTCCGTCCCAGTACCAAAAACAATGTATTTCCCCCACCCCACCCCCACAGTTCTGGGGCCAGAAGCCTGACATGAACATCACTAGGCTGAAATCAAGATATCCTCAGACCCTGGGTTCAATCCCCAACACCCCCCGCCCCCACACACACACACACACAGTTGATTTCAGCTGAGCTCCCACTAAGGCTCTGGGGAGAACCACTTTTCTTGCCTTTTCCAATGGGTTTAGCTGCTTTCCTTGTATTCTTTGGCTTGTGGTCCCTTCCTCCATCTTCAAAGAATTGCAGACATCTTACTATTTCTCTAGTCAATAAGTAAAAATCCACCAGGTTGGTGGCATACACCTATTATCCCAGCTAATGGAGAGGCTGAGGCAGGAGGATTTCATATTCAAGGACAGCATCGTCAACTGAGTGAGACCCTGTCTCAAAATGAGTACTGGAGATGTAGGTCAGTGGTAATGCACCCCTGAGTCCAACCCCCAGAACCAACCAACCAACCAATAAAAAACCAAGGAAGTAAAAATCCTTAACACGTTTCTTTTGTCTCACTTTGCACAAGTAATGATTTTAGCTTTAATTTTTTAAAAAATCTTCAGCAGCAGGCAACACTGCCATAACAATTACAGGAGCTCAGTGCCATACGACACTTTTCCCCTGGGACAGTCTGAAGTGGGTCAATGGGCCCTTCAAGGAAGGCTGTGTCCCCAGTGACTCAGGGGCCCAGGTCCCTTCTAACGTCTAACCAACTTCCTTGAGTCTTCAGCTGCGTGTTTTCTCTCTGGCTATGAAGCAGGTGAGGAAGATGGTGTACTGTATTCCATGTCATCTATCATCTGTCCACACTCCAGAGCTAGACCCCAGTTGCAGAGCTCAGGGTAACTGCAGGGGAGCTGCACTATGCAGGCTGTGTGCACAGGATGAGAAAGGGGACTGTGGGTGTCCCTCTCTTGGATAGGACCCGCCATCCTCCCCTCTACCCTGAGGCTCATCATTAAAGCACCCAGCATCAGACAGAGCCCGTCACCCTCACTCTCACCCTCCAGCTTTTCCTGGCAGTCTGAGTGCCCATAGGTGGCCTACTGTACCCACTTAAGTTGAGTGAAGTCATACAGGGAAGGAGTTCCCTGGGTTCGATCCCGAGTACCAGGGGTTCTGCCCACAAGGAATCCCTGGTCTTTACTGGCTCTAGCTCCCAAAAGGGCCTTCAGATGAATGCAGCTTCGACTGACATGTTGATTTCAGCTTCAACCCCGGCACAGATGTCCAGTGAGTGCTGAAACTTGCTGTCCCTGAGGGCCGGCCCGGAAGGAGGGCAGCACAGTGGGGAGACCCTGAGTCAGAATCACCCTGCCAAGCTCCTCCTACTTCTTCACCCTAAGAAAATATACAAGATGATAAGTGTCCGTTGTCTTAAAAACACACACCTGCTGGTTTGATGGTGCACCCCTGTAATCCTAGCAACTCAGGAGGCTGAGGCAAGAGTACTGGAAGTTCAAGGCCAGTATCAGCAACTTAGCAAGGCCCTGAGCAACTTAGACCTGTCTCAAAATACTCAAAAACGGGGGTGGAGAGGGTTTGCTGGATATGTAGCTCATTGGTAAAACACCTCTGGGTTCAACCCCCAGTACCAAAGAACAAACAAAACAACACACACATATGCACACATGGGAAATTTTAAGCATGGACAATTAGTACTCTGGTACAGACCCAGAGTGCTCAAAGAAGGTCTAGGCCTGATGGCTGTTGCCACTGTCACCGAGCCAATCCCCAGACAGGGCATTTCCCTGGCATGACCTTGCTGAAGTCATGAGCATATAAGGAAGCTAAAAAGGGGCCCTGGAATGCTGCAACTAGAAGCAGAGGGCATGAGAAGAAGCCGGGAACACCAGCTTGGAGACCTTTAGCCTCATTCACAGGATGGAAGATGAAAATATGAGAATATTTTTATTTTCTGTACCTTACGGTTTCTTTCACTCAAAAGTCTTTCTGAGCTGGGAGGTTGGCACACACTTGTGGTCCTAGCACTGACGCTGAGGCAGGAGGATCACGTTAGTCCAGCCTGGGCAACAAACAGACCCTGTCTCAACAGCAGCCCCTCCTGGGGCCAGCCAGCAGCAAGTCTTTGATACGCAGACTGACCAGTTTGGGCCCTGTGCCTCTGGAGGCAATATTCCTGTTTCAGTCGTCCAGGGCAGGTGCCAAACAACTAGGAAATAATCTGCGGTTTAAAGCTTGCCGGAATCATTCCAGCTAGACTGTCCTAAACTGTTTTCTCTGCCCTGCCCTGCCTTTCTGGCAGGCCTTCCCCTTGTCCTGCCCCTACTGCCTCCTGACAGACCTCAGCATTCCCACATGGCCTACAGGGCTGGGTACATGGCTCAGTGGTCCAGTGCCCCTGAATTCAATTCCCGCGGCCTGGGAAGTCCTGTGAGCCCAAGAGGATCTACAGGGCAGGTCTGAGGTGTGGAGAGGTGCCCCCTCAAAAATAAAAAAGACTGGGAATATAGCTCAATGATAAGAGTGTCCTTGGGTTCAACCCCCAATACTGTTGGGGGGGGGGGGACGGGGGAGGGGCAGGACCAAACCAACAAACAAAAAAACCCCTGCCTCCCACAACCCAACCCAGGCCTTGCAGCCCCCGCTTCCTTCCAGCTTGCACCATCCAACTACCCGCACCTGAAACTGAAAATCCTTCTGATCTTGGACCCAAGAACCAAGAACAAGCATGGCAAGAATAATCTGGGTTTCAGGTCCCCGGAGCTGGGAAGCATGTCCCCAGTCCTGCATTACAGCTGTCCCAGGCTGCTTTGACAGCAAATCCTTTCTAAGTGTCCCCAGGGCTGCTGGTGTTGAGAGCAGGATGCAGAATCACCACCTTAGGGCACAGGGGAGCTGAGAGACCAAGTGTTCAAGACTAAGCCCTGCAGAACCAAAGGGCGAAGAGAAACCCAGGAAGTTAGTGAGGTTCAACTCCCCCAGGGGGTTGGTCCGCGGCCCGGGAAGTCCGGTGAGCCCAAGAGGATCTACAGGGCAGGTCTGAGGTGTGGAGAGGTGCCCAGTCCACCGCAGCAGCACCTCCCTGGGTCACAGGCCAACCTCCCCGACCATCCTAACGGACGGTAACCCTAGCCGTCGGTCCTGCACGTACACGCGGCGGGAAGCGGGAGGCCCCTGCGTGCCGGCACGACTCTTCTGTACCTGTCCCCTCTTCTCCCCACTGTGCCGCCCTCCTTCCGGGCCGGCCCTCAGGGACAGCAAGTTTCAGCACTCACTGGACATCTGTCCGGGGTCGGAGTGAAGTGGGGCAGAGAAGGCAAGCTACGCACTAGGCGTCCACTTAGAAGAACAAGCCGTCGGGGACGTCCAGCGGAGTGCCGCTGCAATGTGGGGAGGGGCGGCGGCTTCTTCTGCCTTTCCACGGGGGCGTTGGCGCTGGGTCCGACCGCGGGAGAGGAGCCGCCGGGCTTGGCGACGCGCAGGGGAAGCCAAGTGCAAAGGCCAGGAGGCGCCACCGGAGGGACCCGGAGCTGCCCCGGTAGTCCTGGGCCTGCCCTCGTGGGGCGCGACCTCCCACGCGGCCTGGGGAAGGCAAACTACAGACTGCGGACCTGCCCGGAACTGAAGGCGCGGACCCAGAGTAGACGGACCGGAAGTACGAGGCTTCCCGCCGCCGCCGTCCCCAGGCGCGGGAGAGCGTAGCGCTAAAGCGCCCGGAGGTCCCCGCCTCGAAGGCCAGGGTCCCAGGTCCGCGCAGAATGCCATTTACTCCCCCGGGGCGGTCTCAGGGTCACCGCCCCGCACGCAACGCGGAGCCCTCCTCCCGGACCCTCCGGGCCGAGCGGCACTGAGGGTTTCGGGACCCCACTAGGGTAATGGCGGACGACGCTTGCGCTGGGGCTGCTGGGAAACGTAGTTCTGCTGCGCCCTTTTCTCGTTAACCGAGGTAGCGGGGAAACCTCGTTTGTCACGGCAACCAGGTAGTGCGTCCCCTTGGAAGGAGAGCGTCGTCGTCAAGGAGACAGCGTCCGGGTAAAGAACGCCTTCGCGCCCGTCCCGCCGGGCCAAGCGGGAGATTGGCGGGCAGGATGTTGGCTAGTCCTGCGCCCGGTCACGTTTTCGAGGGGTCGGGACCCAGAAATGGGCTTCCACTTCCAGCCTCGATGCAATAAGTGTTGGGTGGGGATGCAAAACACCTGGAGAGTTCTGAAATGTCCCAAGGAGCGCGCGCTCTCTGGAATGACAAAATCAGAATCTCAGAGTGAAGGCATCATCTGGACGCCAGGTGACTCTACAGCCTCGGCGGAGAATCACGGCCTCCCACAGAAGTGGTGAGACCGTACTTGTCTCCTTGGTCCTGGATAGGATGAGCTGGTCAGACATCCTACCTATTTGTCACTCTCATCTTGTCCCCATCTATCTCGTGGCCCCCTCCATAGACCTTTTTTTTGGGCATTGGGGATTGAACCCAGGGCCTTGTGCTTGCGAAGCAAGCATCCATAGGCTAATTTTGTTAGCCAATCAGGCACAGGCAGAGTGCCACCGATTTGCTAACCCTCAGATTACTCCATTCCCTTTCTCAATCCTGTGGCAATCTGGACATGGAGCCCCCTGCACCAAGGGGTCTGTTTTCCCTGTCCAGCAAGGTTAGTCCTTAGTTTGTTACTCTGCCTAGGACATGTCAGTGCTTCTCCAGGTTGGAGTGATGATTGGAGGGCACTTGGAGGACCGCTGGCCCCCTGTGTCATCTGGTGGCTCCCAAGACCTTAACTCCAAAAATCTTAAGGGGGGTGGTGGTTTAATGAATGGAGCAGGTTCTGCCACTGGCTGAAGGCCTGGGTTGCTGCCCTCCAAAAACACACAGGACTTGGGCACTCAGGCATAAAGAGGAGTTCTGAATGACTGAGACCTCCGGCTCTTGTGCACAGAAAGGGCCTCCCTCTGGAGTAACTACCTGGTGCATGATCCCATGGCAGCCCACCCACAGACCCTGTTGCTGTGCTTAACTGGAGCCACTATTCTGGGTCCAGTTCCCAACAGGGGCCCTGGTTGTAGGATCTGGAAGTGCAGAGGTGAAATGAAGATTGGTAGTTCCCAGGAGGGGAGAAAAACACCAGGAGCCAAGAAAGCAAAACACAGTGGCTTGGCCAAATTTCCTCAGGAGGGAAAAAAAAATTTTTTTTGTTGGTTTGCAGTGTTGGGGATTAATCCTAGGAAAGCAGTCTATCACTGAGCCACACACTTAGCCCTAAATCACAAATCTTGAAAACCGTAACAAAGTTAGAAAAAGTAAGGAATTTCAGCAGGAGTTGAAGGCATCTAGGTCAGTGGGGAAGGCAAAGGTTACCTTCTTGCCTGTCCTACCCCACTGTATTAACCTCAGTGCAGCACTCATTTTGGAATTCTGACCTCCTGTGTGTTGTATTATGTCACTAAGTTTGTGGTAATTTGTTACATCAGCAAACAGGAAACTAATACAGTCTCCATGAGGTACTAGAAGGTCTGACAATTTAAAAAAATCTCTGACCTATGTCCCTTTTGAGCAGAGTAAGGGAATGCCTCAGGCCTAGAGCCTCTGCCTTCAACTTCATCAAGCACAATTCAACCACAGTAGTACCTCTATGTACTTATGCCTGTGTTTCCAGCACCTGATGCTCCCTCCCCACCCACCCCCAGTACTAGGGATTCAACCCAGCGGCACTGTATCACTGAACTATATGTTACCAGCCCTTTTCATTTTTTATTTTGAGACAGGGTCAAAGTTGCCCAAGCTGCCCTGTAACTTGCAGGTCTCAGCAGCTAAGAATACAGGGGTGGGGCTGGGGTTGTGGCTCAGTGGTACAGAGCTCGCCTAGCATGGGTGAGGCCCTGGGTTTGATCCTCAGTACCACATAAAAACAAATTAATTAAAGATATTGTATCCAACTACAACTAAAAAATAAATATTTTTTTAAAAATACAATACAGGTGTGCTCCACTATGCCTGGCCAGCCTCCCATTTTCTCTACTAGCTAACCCTAAGTATGGGGATTGGACTGGATCCATTCTTATCAACACCCCAGCACATGCACTCTCCCTGTATCTCTCCAGATCTACAGTCATCCTGACAACACAGGGTCTCAATCTGCAGCTTGCAGACTGAACCTAGAAGAGGCTTAAGCCAAGTCACCCAGCAGGTGGACTGGCACAGGCAGCTGTCCCTAGAAGCCTGTGTTTGGACACACTCCATAGGCATGGCCCTGTGGCAGGGAGAGACAGGGCAGTCCTGCAAGAACTGGAGAGTCAGTATGCCTGTTCATTCCTTTGCACCTTTATTTCAGCAGGCTGGAGGCAGGACAAACCCTTCTGTAACTACAGCCCATAATCACATGGTTACTGGGCAAGCAGCATTTCCTTTGAAGAGGGAGAGGGTTTAGGGATAGAGTCCCTGTCTGGATTATGCCATACCTAGGGAAAAGGACCACTCCTTGTTCACAGAACAAATATGTCATAGGCATTGTGTATGTGCAGGGGCCCCCAGAATTGTGGGAGACACAACGCAGGGACATGGGAAAGACAGCTGAAGTAGGAGAGATCACACCATGGGGCAGCCATCGGAGATTCCTTCTGCTCTTTGACCTGAACAATGTTACTTCATCTCTCTGGGCCTCCCTGACTGTAAAATGGGTATGTCCACCTCATAAGATTGTTTTGAAAGGTAAGCAATCTGGTTCCTAGATTCTTAATTGTCCCTATGGGATCAGGGAGCTGCTTACCCCAGAGTAATTCCTAACTATAGGAGGCAAGAGAATGAGGTAGGAAGGATGGCATCTCAGGTGTCACCGTGAGGTTATCATGGTGACACGGAAGTAAAGGCCAAACATGGCAAAGGGAGCTTTTCAGTATCTGGAGTATATTAGTGCGGATGTCTGCAATAATAAATTGCCACAAACTTAGTGGCTTAAAACCACAGTTTACTGAGTTCCGAAGATCATAAGTTCATAAGGTGGTGCAAGGGCACATTCTCTGTGGAGGACCCTTCCTTGTTTTTTCAAGCTTCTGGTGGCTCCATGTTCCATGGCTTATGGGTGCATCACTTCAATCTAGGCCTCTATGGTCACATGGGTGTCTCCCCCAACTTTGCCTCTTCTTTCCCTTGTGGTTTTGGGCACTGAACCCCTCTTGCACTGAGCTACATCCGTAACCCATCTTTATAAGGACACTGTCAGCCCCTCCCCAGCTGACCTTTTCAGAGATCCTTCTGGGAGCAGCTGGAGAGATAGAGGCCTGTATGGGAGCCGGATAGGGGAACAGTCCCATGCCTCATTACAGTCTTTAGTCTCAAAAGCAGAAGTCAGGGGGCTGGGGATATGGCTCAAGCGGTAGCGCGCTCGCCTGGCATGCGTGCGGCCCGGGTTCGATCCTCAGCACCACATACAAACAAAGATGTTGTGTCCACCAAGAACTAAAAAATAAATAAATATTAAAAAAAAAAAAAAAGCAGAAGTCAGAGGCTGGGATTGTGGCTCAGCGGTAGATCGCTCGTCTAGCACGTGCAAGACTCTGGGTTCGATCCTCAGCAACACATAAAAATAAGATAAATACAATAAAGATATTTCTAAAAAAATTTTTTTAAGTAGAAGTCAGCCTAATTCAAAACAGCAGCCCAAGAGCCGGGGCCGCGGACACGGTTATGAGCACCAGGATAAAGAACGCCCCCGAGGGGACCCAGCTTGCCAGCCCTGCCCGGCTCCAATTCCCCCACCTCCAGATGGGTAGCACTGCTCCAGCATGTGGGTCTGGCTCTCAGCGCCGCGAACCCGTCTCCCCAGGACGCGAAACTGTGGAAGCAAAGGCAGGACGGCGGGGAAATCCCGGCGGCAGGTACCCGGAGGAATGACCGCCGCGGCCGGCGACCCGCAGACCCAGGCAGTGGGGAGGGGCCGCGCGTGGACGGCGCATACTCGTGGCACTGCGGAGGGCGGTGGCAGACTCACTCCACCAATGCGGAGACGCGATGCGTGTGTCCTGAGGAAGCCGTGCTGAGGGCGGCAAAGAACGATAGGGTACCGAGCCGAATGCCGGGCCGAAATGATCGCGTCCCGGACTTCTGCCCTCATTTGAAATGGCGGCGTTGGTCTTGGACGTCTGGGCACTTGTGCACTGGCCCCCGTGTCCTGGCAACGACGTCTTACTGCACTTCCGCCAGGCAAGTTGTGGTCCCGCTTCTGAGAGTGCGCGTGCGCGGCGGATAGGCGCGTTCGTCTGATTGGGAGGCTGCTTTTCATCCTCACTCCGGATTGGTCTGTGAGCGCTCAGTGCCACTGTGCTCTCCCGGAGCCTCTGCTGACCCGGAAGTTTTCCCTCCACTTAAAAGCGTCGGTCTGCGCTGCGCGGCCTCTTCCTGTCTGTACGAGTGTGGCGCGTGGTGCACGCGGAGCGACCGAGACTCCCCAGCTGTGCTCTCAGGTTAGGCTGTAGGGGGGTCTGGGTCCCGAAGGGGCGGCCCAGGGTCTTCTGGAGATCGGCGGAGGGGCCCAGGGCCCTGCGCCTTCCGTGCTCGGCTCTCCCCTCTTCTGGAAAACGGGTACTCGGAAGCGCGCGCGGCCAAAGCCACTGGGTGCTACGCCATGGTCCTCCACCGCCGAGGCAGCGCGCCCGGGCACTGATGGATTTTCGGCTGCACATTGAGACCGGAAGTTCCCGTTCTCGTAGCTCCTTGGTAACCATTTGTTACCAGTATTCGTTTTCCTCAGAGAATTCTTAGTGTCTGCCTAGTATCAAGCCGGAATGGAAACTTTTTCATGGGTTCTGTCGCAGCATTTGTGCGGTTATCCTTATGTCAGATAGTGTTACCACCTCAAGGATGCGGAAGACGTTCAGAGCAGCCTGCTTTGCCTGGGT